TCCAACTGGTTTGAGCGCATGGAGCTCCACATGAACGTTGGTGGAGAGTACTTTAAGAAAATGTAATGCACAAAACTGTGCATTCGAAAACTTAATACTCTGTCATCGTAAATCCGCAGTGTTCGTGTAAAGCTCATGTGGACTTAACTTGGTGATTCGCTTTGTGTAATAACGTATTTAGAATCTGAAAATCGAATCGCTTGAAAAACAAAGTAGGTACAGTTGATCCGTCTCACCTTCTAAATTGGAAGGGCGCACGCGGCACACCTTGCATGACAAGCACACATCGGTAGTGATGCGCGTGTTTTCGTTTCCACTTAGATTGACTATTTGATGCACGCATAGCGATGCATCGTACATAGGGTAGAGTGGAGCTGATCATGAATGCCAGTCTATGAAAACAACAATGCAGTTGCCCAGCCGGTATCACTCAACGTTCACACGATTACGAACTGCTTACGACGGTGTGCAGTAGAGGCGCAACCCGAAAGCAAGGCACACGAGGTCTGGGTATACCGCAGCCCGTAGCTACGCGGATCCGAACCGGAGACCTAAAGGATTACAACTAAGGCTCGTAATCCTTTCGACCACCAGATGACGATGGTGATGATCGGGGAAAAAGTGTTCATACGATACCAAAAATCCCACTATAACCGAAGATACTTCATTACCAGAATAATTTAGACAAGATGTGAAGAGCGTTCCAATACATCTGACTAGATGACCGGAAAGGTCTGAGGATCAAACAAAATCGCAGGACTTTAATAGTGGTTGTGGCGCTATTTTGATAAGAATCGGAAGTTTGGCACAAGGAATACGCATTCAATGAGAATCGACACATTCAACGAGGGATGGGAGGTTACGGGCTAACATGTAGTATCAGTAAGTAAAGACGATATGGTTAGATAGGATCATTTCGATTGAAAAGGATGACAACCAAAGCAACACTGGAGTGAGTGACGTCTAGGAGTGTGATCGTATCATCAGTACGATGCCTTTGACGAGTACAAACTGATTGTAGTGGACTAAAAGCAGATAATTTAGTGCTCAGGTATTATTTCTTGCCATTAAGATAACAGCTGTCGCATAAATCAGATGCGCGATTCCTGTGATACTACGAGAGCCACGCTCGCAATTTAATGTAATGACCCTTGTTAACGAGGAACTCGAGGCAGCTGCATCAGCAATGATGGGCGCATAGAAACTGACGTCAGCTCACGCATTGCAAAAGCCAGAGCTGGCTTCTTGAACCTGCGGCATCGATGAATACAGAAGGGAGTTCCCCTCCGTCTGAAAGGCCGGGTATACAAGGCCACAGTGAGGGCCGTTCTGCTCTAGGGTAGTGAGTCTTGGCCCCTTCGGTCTGAAGACCTGAGGCGCCTTCAAGTTTTTGACCACCGTTGTTTGCGAAGCATTGCTGATGTCTGCTGGCACCAGCGTGTCCGCAACGATGGTGTGCATAGATGAATACTAAGTGGTGATAATCATGCTAGTCTCTTAGAACAACAGATAGCACTGAATAAGTTGTGTTGGCTCAGGCACGTGCTACGTATGCCTGGTCACCGCTTACCTAGGAGGGCCTTGTTCAGTCTACCAGGTGTAGGGTAGCGCAAGGCTCGAAGTAAACAGAAGTTGACTTGACAGCGAGAAATGAAGTCATTGACGACTAAACTGGGTGCCGTTGGTCCGTCTCGCCTTCCGGGCTGGAGACCACGTGACTCATCTTGTGCTTGGCTCGAGACTTTACAGGACATGGCTCGCAACCGACACCAGCGGCGCGTCTGCTGCCGTCTCCTAATCGGATTGCCTGTTTAAAGTGTGTTTGGTGCTGAGTTATCTGCGGGGTACTGGATGATTATGACGCAGGTCAGTGAAAGCCGCAAAGAAGCTGTCTCGCCGATGCCGCCTTATCTTTGCACGATAGCCTGATGTTTGTGACGATATGTTGTCTACACAAGGCGTAGATGCCTCGACCCTGAATGTCTGCTCAGAGCATTATGGTTTTCAAGTAAGTCCCCCTTCTCTCTCTCTTCCTATTCTTTATTTCATGGGTCCTGATTGTTGTATGACAGCGAAGCATCAGTTCAAATGGCTGATGTACTGCTGTTGATGATGGTGATGACGCTCGGAATTGCAGGATACAGAAAGAAGTGGACTAGTAGGTCACAAAATCGATGCGATGTAAGTATTAGAAAAGCATGTCTGATCAAAACAAGGTTCAAAAATATAAACCATAAACCGATAAAAAGTAAGTTAGCTGAGAGTTAGAAATGATGCGTTAGAAATGATGTGTCTCGGATTTCCGATAAAGTATTCAACCACGAATGTAGACGATCCCGAAACCTCTATACACTCTCAATTATGTGGCCAGTTGCTTCGTGTAGTTTCGACACATCGCAGACTAGCTATCACAGTCGCACAAAGCAGGCGAAACAGTTTAGTTCAGGAGAACAACTATGATCCGAGCACTGAAATGCGATGGATTCAGTTGCCATGGCTCATATCCCAAGAATAATTATAGATAGCAACGGCAAGATAGTAGGGTTGAATGCAAATAGAATGTAAAGAAAATGGAAGCAAGAAAGTGCGTTAGATCAATCAGAATGGAGTGAAAATTAACTACCAGATGCAAGAAACCGAATGCAGGAATGCCATCGACTGCGTGACAGCACAATGTCTGACACCGTTTCTAACCATTGGTGTGGACCATCCCGAGTACCCATCCACGAAGGCAGCATGCACCAGCCCGACCGAATCTCTTAGTCCGTTTGTTCATGCCACTATGCCACGTCATGGACAGGCCACTTCGCGGTTTCGCCCAACATGGTGCAGCCACGGCTTATAATGCACGTCGAGGAAGTCGGCCAACTGAGGAAATCGCCTAGCCAACGTAGGCGAGAAATATTTAGTAAATACCCGAGAGAGGAATCAGAAGGCTTCTTGCAAAAAACCAACTGGCAGACCTCAGCATTGCTCACTCGATGTTCACACCAGATGTAAGCAATACTCCGCAAGCACGGGTTGTCAAACGTGGTCAAACGTTTAATGTCTTCGACGAGAAATGTCCAGGTACAAAACCCAGAAAGTAAGGCCGATCTTACCGCAGCGTTATACACCCTATCTTTCAATGGCAGGCTTACATCACGCCGTCTCTGGAAAGCCACGTGGGCATTTCTGATACGTGATGTGACCACAAGAGGTGAAACAAGTCAAAAGGCATGCGGAGGAATTACCTCTAGTTCAAAGAAAACCAGAGGGTCCGTCAACAAATACCCAATGAAGAACTTCGGTGTCACTCATTTGGTTCTCTAGGGGTCTAGTACGATCAACCTCCTAATGTCCGCAGTGCGCAGTGGCCGTGACTGATCCGCACAATAACATTGATCACACCGTAGGGTGGTAAACCATCCCTTACCCAAAATGCGTGTGTCCAACTATCTCTAAAGTAAGTGAGACTATGAGACGTATTGGCATTGTGTGTTGTTACTCTTAAAAATTATGTGTCAGTTGTACGCCGTAACGACGCTGCGCTGCCGCGCGACCACTACCAATCGCGCCCAGGCTGAGTATATGGCAAAGACGCTCACGCCTACGTAGATTTGAACCGGTGACCTTTGGATTGCAAACCAGGCGTGCAGACCACTCGACCACCGGCACTGGTTACCTCCTTTGGGATGCGGAGGACAGAGGCGACACAGTTACCCAGATAAGTAAACCCACAGATTCTACGATCGCATCGGTCCAGATACGTAAAAGACGCATGCCCAAAGAATGCGGTAGACTGCACCAACCTATAAAGAACGGCAACCGTAACAGCTGGAATCGATCGTTAGTGCACGCACTCCAAGTTTGACGTGTAGTTACCAAAACATAATCGCTCTATTAGAAGCCGTGAAAATAGCCATATGTAAGGTGGTCAACGTTGTAAAGCGTGACCAAAAGTGCGGACTGCTCCATATAGCAAGCATTTGTTATTTCTATGAGTATGCACTGGAGGCAACCAATGGGCCGATGGACGACGAATAGTAAAGTAGGTAATACGGTGAAGACGTAGAGACTATGAAAGTCAGCGTTAACCAGCTGCTTAGTTTGAGACCCGTGGTTTAATGAATCTGCGACAGCAATGATGGTGGTGGTGACCAAAGGGAAAAGGCGAATGATTCTGCGGACAACCCGTGAATGCGTCAACTGTGGGAGCGGATGCTATTGAACAAAGTACGCACGGGAGAGAGACGTATGCAAACATGAGTGGGCAACGCCCCTATAGAAGAGAGTGTAGCGAATACCATCTGAGTCCTAGGTTTGAGGAGTCTGGTAGCATTACAGCTTGCATACAACCAGATGCGGGCGAATAGCAGCGAAGCACTGGTCATGAGTGTGTTATGGTCACCAAGTTAGTGCCGTGTCGCTCTGAATGGCTATTTTGAACCTGACCGCTGATTGGCCGATCAACAATGCGAGGTTTCGATCACCGGCCGCAGGGTAAGAGACAATAGTGTAGCGCTGATAATGGTTTTTTATAGGTTCCCGGTGACCTTCGACTTTCTCCGTTCTCTTATATTGCTACTCATCATTAAAAGTAGTAGAACCATCGAGAACATTCTTTTGATCAACCTATGCGATTATTCCACTGGATTAATGGAAAAAGGATGGTTGGTCTGTATAGTGTTCACTGATCTATCCCTTAGAAGGCACTCCTCTTAACAGAGTAGTACTGTAGAGCTAACGTCCATTTGATGCGGTGCGGTTGCTCAAAATTTAGGTTGCGACCTCCACATCTGGGCTCGAGTCCCACTCCACTCTGGGCTTAAAAACCCATGCATTGACACAGCCTGAATTCCACTGCTTTCAGATGTGAGTCAGCGACGCACGAGTACTAGGTATTAGTGGTCCGATTTTTAGCGGGAATGTGGTTCTAAGAAAGTTTTTCAGACATTCGAGCAGATCGTACCGCCGAATAATTTGATCACAAGAAAACAAAAATAGCACATGAGACATACCTAGGTGAAATTTTCTCGAAGTCTATTGGCAGTGAAGAGTCCACGAGGCCGGATTTATTCGCTACGACGTGGATGCAGGTAAAAGCCATGGGTTCCACGGTCACGGGGCCGATCCGAAGACGGTCTACGAAGAGATGAAGTTTGCTGTTTGACTGTTTTACAGCCACACGATCAGCTTGAATGAGCAGAGTACGGTTTGTGAAAGAGGCCTTATGAGGATCGAATACAGTTTGCAATGCAGTCAAAGGGGTGCGATCACGTTGAACAGTGAGGACGGTTGATGTAGTGCGACGGTGAAAAGTTGGATTGAATAAACACACAGTGCCGAGTCCGTGACTGTGTGCAGAAGAACAGGGAAAAGAGTAATAAGGTTAGTTGATTAGGTTTCTATGAATTAACTCCGAACAAGCAAAAAAACTGATAGACTAGAGAGTGAGTAAAGGGGAGGCGAAGTAAAAGTACTGCAGTACAACAGTACTTATAAAAAAAGTGGAGATGATAAGGTAGAAACAAAAGCACAGAAATACGAAAAAGTCTAAAAACAAGTGTATCAGTGAACAGAGACATGAAAACCAAAGCTAATCAAGAAACGAATGTTATCTGAGCTACAAAGAATTGAGCGGAAACATGAACCATGAAGAGCTAGTTGAGAAGTAAAAAAGGAATCCCGATATCGCAGCAGCGAGGTGGATGCTGTCAAAAGACCTCGAAAACCCATCATAGCTAATCACCACATGTCGACGAAAACACGTGTGTCGGGAAGGTATGGTGCTGGGATATAAGACAGCCGAAGAAAGCGGTTGTAAGCATCGATCCCGAAAAGGATTACAAGACAATGTTCCGATTCTGACAGACTCCTAACCAGTATTTACCTCCGCCACGAAAAGCAGGATGCCGGTTTTTGGACGTTTGAACTATGCAACAGACTTGCTCGTCGAGATCGTATTGGACGGTCCTCTAGCTTCAGTCATGGGGAGAATAGAAAAAAGGCACTCCGTTTTGGTTGCTATCCAATAACTTCAAGATAGTTTGGCAAACCATCTACTGGTAGCTATTCGTTGCAGATAACGACACAACGTGCTAATTAAGTAGCATCTGAGAAGCATAAACACCATTAAAAACTGGTCTGACAACGACAGAAGCACTAGAATACAGCAATCCTGTACGCATGTTTCAAACACAGCGCACATCAGAATTGAGAAAGCGCCAAGTCACACAATGTCGACTCTTGATCGAGCTGACCGAGTGCACGGATGTTGAAAAGTAGGTATGGCGACCCATGTTACTTACCAGCAATGGTCTCACCTTGCATAGAACGCGAAGATGCTTGAAAAGGATGGGTGTAACAGAAAAACAAGACGAACCTGTGAACAGATCACAATCAGCGCCCGCTCATTCGGAAATGGTGGGTTGCTCGAGGGTAAATAACTAAAAACCTACGATTTAACAAAACCATAGGGCAGAGGGAGAACCGTGGACGCTAGTCTTTAGAACCGAAAGTTGCGATAATTACAAGAAACAGTCAGGAAATAAGAGCATGAATTCAACATATCTGTGTGAAAATAAACAATTCAAGTCCAGAATGGACGTGCACTAGCCACTGAGTAAGAAGAGCTGAAAACACATGCGAATACATCTAATGTTTCGATGTAGCGGTAAGGCAAGCAATACACGTGCCTGGTGGAGTCACGGGAAGGTGAATAGAGCAATTGTGGTTCGGGAAGTTCGCTGGCTGAGAAGGTGTCCTCCAACGACGATACCCGATGATGCACTGTTGTGTCGGACTGCTTTAGTTCAATCGCTAACCCAAGCAGTCGGTCGAGTGATATGCGGCTGATTTCAGTGGAAGACGGTTGCGAAATTTTGTCTGGTGAAGGAAATGTTAGCAGTAAGATCGCAACAGCCACAGAGCTGACGATGCGAGCATTGTGTAGAGCTAAGAGCAGCCTGACGAAAGACAGAAATGGACGAGATTGGTCGTGATAAGAAAATGGAAAATGTTGAGGGTAAAAATACGAGCAGTTAGGAAATTTAGGGAAATTGTGCAAGCAGGAGGGCAATTATAAAATACAATAATGGTAACCTGAGAGCAGAGGAATGCGTTGAGAGCCTGTGTACACCATACTAAATACGTTGTGCGTGAAAGTGCAAGATCGTTGAATGGGACCAGTTCACACAATAGGGCGGTGGTCGAGTGGATGTGACTATATCGTAATCCACGGCAGCCAGTGCTCGAAAGGACTACGCGCATGCGTTGTAATCCGGAGGACTCCGGTCCGAGTCCGTATAAATCACCCTATGCGCAACCGGTGGTGATCGCGTAGAAACGAAGCACCGATGCGCAAGTAACCGACTAATACCCGGCAAAGTGCCGAAACAAAGGGGTAAAACATTGGGCTGAATTGTTTGAAAAAGTTAAAGGAGTCCAACAGTCGCAATAGGAACATGTGAGGTATAACTGTAAGGTCGATATAGTGCTACCCGAATGTAGGTGGTGGAATGTGGTTAAACATTCTTCCGTGAAAAAGGTCGATACGAAACGGGATGCCCTAGAGTGTATACGGAAAATGGGATCAATGTCCATTAAGCACAACGCAGTGGGTGGTGGTTAATCACGTGCCAACAGCATATAGAATAAGCAAGCTTCCGGCAATCCCGAGTAGTCTACGTGAAGAGATCAATGATTCAAAAAGAAAATGTTCAATAAATGTAAATAGCTCAAGTGCAAAGAAAGCATAAAACAAATCAACGAAAAGAAAAGCAACAGCTGAACCATAGTGGTGCACAATGCTAGTGTACAACAAGCGTGCATCCACCTACAGAGAGGCGGCAAGTGTAGCAGAGAATAAAAGAAACCAAAAACGAATATTTGACGACGAAAACTGCGATAGATGAATCTCAACAATTGAAGGAAAAATTAAATAACAGGATTTACACCACAAAATACTTATAAGGAGGCAACCTTCTATGCATAATTGAAATCGTGAAACGTAGAGCGCGCAGTACATTATATATATATATATATATATATATATATATATATATATATATATATATATATATATATATATATATATATATATATATGGTGTGTGTGGTTGTAGAAGTGGGTTGTGCAGCGCAAGCCACCCGTAGTCCCTCTGTAGGCGCAGGCGTCCTGTGGCTTGCCAGAGTGACAGGCAAATCCGAAACCGGATGCCGCCAACCATGTATGTATGTGCGCTGTGCCATTTGGGGCCACTACAGAAGCGACGACGGGTCCTGCAGAGAATTACGGCGAGGCGGCGCAGCGTTTGTAGGCACGCTGAATTCGATTTACTAACCGCATGCTTGCATGCTAAGTCTCTTTATTTCAGGTGGTGGGTTTACAGTTTTAACCTTAATGCTTTCCTTTCTCATATAAATATCTCCATGTACTCTATTCCATTAACTTGCACACATCGCTTTAGCCAATTGTATTCGATTTCCATAACATTTTTGTGTTTGTGGCATTCCCTGAACTATACTTCCTGACCTCGTGCACTTAGCTAGGATAAGTTTGTAAATAACTTATTATCTATGCTATTTAATTAAGGTTTACGTCACCGTTTCCTTATGCATTAATCGAATTTTTCTCTTTTTTTTCTCTCTCTCTCTCTCAAGTGTTTGGCTGTTGTTTGATATCCCCGGTGTGGCTGCGCTTGATGTGCATGTTGACAAGGTGCCTACCTGTCTATTACCCACTACCTCGTCCATACTGGCTCCAGGAGACAGTTGGTCGTTGCTGGGGGGGACGGGGTGCACGGTTCTTGTGGCCGTGCTTGGCTCGAAGAGTGGTTCCATGCACTCAGTATGGAGCGGACTACGGTCCCACCACCGCCTTGTGTGCGCTTGATTCCCCAAATACAGTGTGCTTGTGTTTGTCTGTGAAGGAGTGTGGGCCGGCTCCGTTGATGAAACGTGGCTCCCATCCGCATGCCTCCCGGTCTTATTCCTTCGGGTTTACACTGGATATGGGGTGTGTGGGTGGAGCTGTGGGTGGTGCAGCGCAAGCCATCCATGGTCCCTCTGTAGGCGCAGGCGTCCTGTGGCTTGCCACAGTGACAGGCAAATCCGAAACCGGATGCCGCCAACCATATATATATATATATATATATATATATATATATTATATATATATATATATATATATATATATATACATCTGCCTGTCACTGTGGCCAGCCACAGGACGCCTGCGCCTACAGAGGGACTACGGGTGGCTTGCGCTGCACAACCCACAGCTCCAACCACACACACCATATCCAGTGTAAATCCGAAGGAATAAGACCCGGAGGCAGGTGGATGGGAGCTAGGTTTCATCAACGGAGCCAGCCCATACTCCTTCACAGGCAAACACAAGCACGCTGAAGTTGGGAATCAAGCGCACACAAGACAGTGGTGGCACCGTAGTTCGCTCCACTCTGAGTGCATGGAACCACTCTTCGAGCCTAGCACGGCCACAAGGACCGTGCACCGCGTTCCTCCAGCGAAGACCAACTGTCTCCTAGAGCCAATATTGACCGAGGTAGTGGGTAATAGACAGGTAGGCATGTTGTCAACATTCACATCAAGCGCAGCCACACCGGGGATATCAATCAACAGCCAATCACTTGTGTGAAAGGTAACATAAAATAAATCGAGTAATACATAAGGAAACGGTGAAATAAATCTAAAATTAATGAGTATGTGAAGTAAGTTGTTTACAAACGAATACGAGATAAGTTCACGAGGTCAGAAAGTATAATTTACGAATATGCCACAAACACGATAATGTTATCGAAATTAACTACAATTGGCTTAAGCGACCTGTGCAGGTTTATAAAAGAGAGTACTGGTAAACATTTATATGAGAAAGAAAAGCATTAGGACAAAATTGCAAACCCACTACCTTAAATAAATAGACTTAGCATACAAGCACCCGGTTAGTAAATCGAATGCAGCGTACCTACAACCGCTGCGCCGGTTCTGCCTACATTCTCTGCAACACCCGTCGTCGCTTCGGTAGTGGTCCCGAGTGGCCTCGCTCATGGCTCACTAAGCCTGCCTGACTCGGGCACTCGCGACAGCATGTGCTACAGCACCATGCGCTCGATGTCGATCGGGTACAACCCACCGGAGCTTGTTGCTTCCCCATTTGCCGCTTCTTCTCTGCATGTATGAGGTCTTTCTCCCGCACTTCGGCAACTGCCTTCGTGATTAGATTGCGCCATGCACGCTGATCAACTGCCTTCGATTCCCATGACCTGAAATCAAGATTAGAACATAAGAGGCTCATTTTGATCATGTCCTGGGAACGTAACTTTGGTTTCCCCACATGCTGGTTGCCAATGCTCAGCTGACCGTATGAGAGTTGTTTCGGTATCCGCGTTGAATCCATACGGCTCACATGACCTCAGGAGTCTCAGTAAAGGTATGCAGTCCACCGCATACATCCACTTTGTCGCAACACTTCCGTGTCAGCAACTCTGCCGCCCCAACTGATGCGCAAAATTCGTCGCAGACACTGCTGATGGAACGACTCGAGATATCGCACACTCCGCCGGTACATCGTCTAGGTTTCGCTGCCGTATAGATGACCGGACAGCACCATGGATTCGTACACCATCAGCTTCGTGCCAATGGTAAGCTGATGGTTGTTCCACACTGGGTACTCAAGCTTCCCGAATACCGCCGCTGCCTTCCACACGCGGATACGCAGCTCAACGTGTAGCTGCTGGTCAGTCGACATCACACACTCAAAGTAACAGAAACGGGGGTGGTTTCTAATACTTCAACACCAATACAAATTCGCGGCACCATTGTAGATTGCACCTCCAATGAAGCCTGAAAGATACAGACAGTTTCGCTTGTGTTGATGGTGAGCCCGAATTTGGCCGCCATGGAAGACAGAGCACTAGTCATATGCTTCAACGTAACTGCGCTGTGCGCAAACAACGCACAGTCGTCAGCAACATACGGATATTTGTCTCACAGAATAGGGTTCTCGTACCGAAACGATGGATGTTCAGCAACTCACCATCAAAACGGTGCTCCACACGAAAACCGGAAACAGAAGCCCATTCAAAAGCACAAGACATCATGGCATGAAGATGTATAGTAAACAGGGCAGGAGCTAAGACACAGTCTTGCTTCACCCCAGAAACAACGGCAAATTCATCCGAGGTCTGTCCACTGAGCTGCATCCTCGCCCACATACCGCTGTGCAGACATACAATTAAACTTATAAAACTTACGCGCGCAACGAAACTTACTCAACATCAGCCACAATGCCTCGCGGTACACCGTATCAAATGCCTTGGTGAAATCAGAAAAGCGAGTACAATGGCTAGTGTCGTTCTCTGTACTTCTCCTGCAAGTAACGAGCCGCAAACACCATATCTATAGTGCTGCGACCCGAACGGAATCCACACTGCTCTTCCTCCACGTTAGGTTCCACAACCTGACTGACCAGGCGGTTAGGCAGGATTCGGGCAATCACCTTGCCCACACAATTCAGCAAGTTGATGCCACGATAATTTGTGGAACATTGCTTGCTCCCCTTGCCGTTGTATAGTGGTAGCACAAGGGCATCCTTCAGCTCAGCAGGCACCTCCTCCTCAATCCATACGCGTTGCACCAAGTGGTGCAGCGCAGTCACCAACGCGGGTCCGCCGTGTTTCAATACATCAGCCGGGATACCGTCGGCCCCGGCACACTTGTCGCTTCCCAGATGAGCAAGTGCGCTCTGCGTCTCATATAGTGTCGGCGTGTCTGCCAGACTCGCCTTCACATCGAACTGCTTGAGGCCGTTCAATATAGGCCAGTCGATCTCTGAGACAGTCAGTGTTTTCGCCAAATCTGCATTATGTCTGCAGTCTGTGTGCAGGTAGCGCCTGAACTACCATCGATCAGCGTCCACAGCGGCTCCAACCTCGGTCCATACACCG